TTGATGCAAACCGTATGTATACACTGCAAAATATATTTATAAAAAAAAACAATCAATCAATCAATATGGTCTAACACTATAGCTGTACCAGTCGTACCAGAATGTATTGTTTCATATCTCATTTACAAAGTACTTCTTGAAAATTTACAAGTGCACATGCAACAACCACCATTTGGGTAGCAAGTGGAGCAATGCTGAGCGGAATTCTTCTTCCCACCAGTTTAAACTCCTTCAATCTTTGGTTGAAGCGCTCAATGTGGATCCGCGCCTTAGCAATCTTCCTTGTTTCCAACTCCTCGTTTGCAGTTAAAGACTTTCGACCCTTCAGGAAGGCTGGCATCTTTGTCTTCACCTGTATAGGATTTACCAGGTCATCAACAGTAAATCCTCTGTCAACTAAAATTATATCTTGTGGCTCCAAGTGCTTCATTATACCACTATCTTCAAAAATCTGAACATCAGAGATGTCCCCCTCAAATAAATCAGATACAAAACAAGCCCCACCATTAGGGGTGCAAGCAATCAGACATTTGAAKGTGTTTGTATGTTTGTAAGAGCTGAAAGTATTGCCCTGTTGGGCAAAGTTTCTTGAAGTTTGGACCCGAAACTCTGTACAATCAATACTGCACCGGACATTCTTTATAGTCTTGAAGATCTTTGGCAAAAAACGACGTAGCTCTTCTCGTCCGGGAAAGACAATATGTTTCATTTCTCGAACAATCTTGAAAATAAGCTGGATGAATGTTGTGAATATTGTCCTGACAGTGGTGTCTTTGATTTCCCTGTCTGGACTACTCAACAAGTGTGCAATGGTTTTAATGGTGAACCCAGTTTTCAGTCTCAGGAGACAGATAKAAAGTTTTTCTCGTAATGAAAATTTAGAAAGTCGCCCTGAAGCTTTTTTCTTGGTCGCATGGTTGTTGTTTTTGCGAAAACCCCAGTATGTTATCTTCTCTAGAGGGCAAACGCCATTCAAGAACGTGAAAAGGATTTCAAACTGTGAAGATGTTAGTCCCACATAATGTTTCATTAACTTTGGACTCAGTACAACCACGTCATACGAAAGGTTACTCACAATTTTAACTGTTTCGTTACTTTCGGGGCATACGGATGTGTTCTCTGCGACGATTCTGTCTATTCTGTCACCTAACAACTTTGCCAACTCTTCCTTCGGAATTTCGGTTTGAGTCGCCTTGTTTGTATCACAAATTAACTCTGCCACTTGTTGTTCATTATTGAAGTCTTCGTTTACATCGTCAAAGTCATTTAAAGAAGACGAAAAGCTGTCTTGATCGGTATTTTTTGTGCGCTTTAAGTCTAAGTTTATATGTGGTAGCTCTCTTTGTTTTGGCGCCTTCCTCTTCACACCACGTTTCTTCGTTTCTTSTTTAGCTTTAATAGGGTCTGGATACTCTTCAGTTGGTCCTTTCCCTCCAGGCCAGTGTACAGCACAAATATAAGTGTCTTTTGTAATATCTGAGACAGAAAAATCTTTTCGATAACACGCGTCTACCCAACGCTTACATCTCTCGAGGTCACGCTTTGGTTTGATGAACGGAATGAAGGCTTTTTTGCCTGATTTCTTCAATTCCTTTAGAGAATTCGGTAATCTATCTGGGTACCTAGAATCGTTATTACATTGGCCCCAACAGCAGTGTTTTGTTCCGACCATAACAAGCAAGAAGACGTCTAAAATCGAGAACAACTGACACGGTACCGCGAATCTCCCATACATTTACTGTAAACTTGACCTTTTGTTTGTCCGAATTTCCAGGTTTCTCAGCTGGGGGTAATCTATTAATAGAATATCCGCGCTAAGCTATTCAACTCATAAGGGGTGGTAATAATTTGTGAACATAGCACAAATGAAAAAAATCATATCAATCAGACCATTCTTGCAGTGTAATTAGGATTGAGTCCACGTTGCGATAGTTCTTGATTCTTTCGATAGCTCTTTCCACATGTATTCCGAGTGTTGCTATACGTCGTGTTTTGAGAAGCTCACTTTCAGTGAATTGGCCAGACTCATTCATGAATGGTGGTACATTCACCTTCACCCCTTTGCTAACTACATCAGGTATCTCTTGTATATTGAAGCCTCTATCAGCCATGACTTCATCATCTCTTTGAAGTTTGTCAATGAACCCAGACTTTAAAGTGATTTCTTTACCTGATATCGACCCACCATACAATGTGAGACAAAAGAGACACTACCACTAGGTGTGATGCCTACCAATGCCTTGAGTGTATTACTATTCTTGTATGATGAGAATGTTATCTGCTGCGCTTCAGGATTGCTGGGCTTCTCTCTATATATATCTCAGTGGCATCAATAATCACTGTTGTGCCTTTGTATTTGTCTTTGAAGCACTGAGGTTTATGGAGTTCTATTATATCTCTCTATCTGGAAATATATCAACTTCTTTGAATCAAGTAGTAAGAATGTTGATTACAAGGCCCTGCGAAATTCTAAACCTGCTAGCTAGGTCTTCCTTAAGTAGGCCAACCTTCAGACAACACAGAAGAAGGAAGAATTCATTTTCAACTGAAACAGCATGTTGAGGTCCTGGTCCTCCCAAATCTTGTAATTCTTTGTTGCTATAATCTAATTTGGAAGCAGCCTCTCTTCCAAGAAAGTCCAGGACCTTGATTACTACGCTTATCACTTGAGTAGGAAAGCCCAAAGTTTTTAGACCAACGTTTTGATGACGAAACCACAATGTTGTCMTGGGCAACTGTCAAGTTTGTGACGTCATCAGCAAGCGCGCGAAAATCATTGCTGATCTCGCTGATCAAACGGAGTTTCAAGTGAAAGTTGAATACAGCGGCTCGTCAAGGCATGCTCTCAGCGCTTCACCGCCGGCATTATGGTGTGTTGGACAGTTGTCCACTATGACAATGTCGCCTACTTCTAGTGCGGGCCTTCCAGTTTCAACATTTGCCGCGCTTCCAGCTTCGCCGAAGAAGAGATTTGTCCAATATAGACGACTTGTTACTATTCGTAATTTGTATTTTACCGATGGTATCTATTCGTGAAGTCATTTTCATGGTGACTTTGCGATGAGATTTGACTTTAACTGTTGATTTGATGTTGAGAAATAAGATATGCATGTAGGCTCTCTGACTTGGAAACACGTGATATCGGTTGCACTTGCGAATTCAAAGTGATTATGATTCGAACAATCTGAGGCTGTCGCGCATAATACTTTCAGGTTCAACTTTTACTCGCCATAGCATTGAAAGAACAAAGAGATATGGGGAGAAATTCACCATTCGTTCCATCGGTACCATTGGTCATGGATTGAAGGCCTCATTCTGTCGTTCAATCTGAAAGGAAATGGTATCCCTGTGCAGCACGGCATGCATCCATGTCTATGAAGCCTGAAGAGTCTTACCATTCGTCCCGATCGAACCATTGGTAATGGGTTTTTACCGGTCGTATCGAAGGAATTCAATTGGTGAATCGTTAACTTATTGCCGTTGCTATAATATGGTATCCCTGTGCAGCGCCGTATCCATCTCTATGAAGCCTCGAGAGTCTTACCATTCGTACCGATGGAACCATTGGTAATGGGCTTTTACCGGTCGTCTCGAAGGAATTCAATTGGTGAATCCTTAACTCATTGTCGTTGCTATGAAACATAGATGCTGTGGATGTTGTTCTTGCGATTTCAAAGTGAATATTTTTCGAACAATCTGAGGCTGTCACGCATACTACATGTTACTGTGACAAACGGTATCCCTGTGCAGCTGTGCATTCATCTCTATGAGGCCTCAAGACTCTTACCATTCGTCCCGATCGAACCATTGGTAATGGGCTTATACCGGTCGTATCAAAGGAATTCGATTGGTGAATCATTAACTTATTGTCGTTGCTATGAAACATAGATCTTGTGGATATGGTTGTTGAGATTTCAAAGTGATTATTATTCGAAAGATATAAGGCATTCACACGTGCTACTTTCAGATTCAACTTTTAATCACCCTAGCATTGAAACAGCAAAGAAATATGGGAACAAATTCACCAATCGTTCCATCGGGACCATTCGTCATGGATTGAAGGCCTAATTCTCTCGTTCAATCTGAAAGGAAATGGTTTTGTGTAGATGATGGGGAGAAGTGATATCGGATTCGGTTGGATGTGGTATTCCTGTGTATTTGTGTCATCATCTCATTAGGGCTCAAATGTGTTACCATTCGTCCCGATCGAACCATTGGTAATTCCCTATCACCGGTCGTCTGGAAGGAATTCAATTGATGAATGATTAATGGTCTCTCGTTGCTATGACATAGAAAATGTTTCTGATCTTGTACTTGTGGGGTATATTGTTATGAAGCAATGCATGTTACTGTGACAAACGGTATCCCTGTGCAGCTGTGCATTGATCTCTATGAGGCCTCAAGAGTCTTACCATTCGTCCCGATCGAACCATTGGTAATGGGCTTATACCGGTCGAAGGAATTCAATTGGTGAATCATTAACTTACTCTCGTTGCTATGAAATAGTAAATTGTGCTGGCGATATGTTGTAATGAAGCAATGCATATTTCTGTGACAAAGGGTATCGCTGTGCAGCTKTGCCATCATGTCTATTAAGCCTCAGGAGTGTTACCATTCGTCCCGATCGAAACATTGGTAATGGGCTTATACCGGTCGTATCGAAGGGATTCAATTGGTGAATCATTAACTGACTCTCWTTGCTATGAAATAGGAAATGTTGGTGGGGATATGTTGAAATGACGCAATGCATGTTGCTGTGACAAACGGTATCCCTGTGCAG